TTATACCTGATGTAAATGACGAGTTGTTGGGTGCTGAGTTGATGGGTGCAGCACGGCAACATGGCACAAGTATACATATGTAACAAACCTGCACGTTATGCACATGTACCCTAGAACTTAAAGTATAATAATAAAAATTTTTTTTTTAAATGCCCATGGGATATACTTATACAAGAAGACGATTTGTCTGAAATTCAAATTTAATTGAGTATCATGTTTTTGTTTGCTAAATATGGCAGCCCTGCTTGAGGAGTATCATACTGACTCCCCGAAAGATAAGGTGGTATTTAGTCCCATAGCAACATACCCCGCCCACGTACACATGCATTTTACATACCATGAAAGCGACACTCCTGTGCGTTAACACACTGTTTCCAAAGGATGTCCCTCCCTTGATCTTCCTACAGTCTCTTGCCTTATACTTTCAGTCACTGAGCCTGACCCCAACTGCCTGGGCCCTCCTCAGCCTCCATGGGTCACAGTAGGCAGGAAAGGTCCCACAGGCTGGTGGATGTGAAGTCCTAGATCTCTCAGTGCCACCCTGGGCATGTCCAGATCCAGCCAGAGTCCTATTGCTTTACCTGGACCCTCCTGCTTTCAGCATTTATTCCCACTGGGCAAACAGAATTCTGATCAGCAGGGACTCTGGCCATGGAGAGTTATAGGTCAACCTCCTGGGACAACAGGTGTGACCATCAATGCATCAATGGCAAACCAAAAATGGTGGGGGCGTTCCTTGCCCCAGGAGGATGGTAGTGTAAATCAGGCTGGTAGAAGCCAACCTCAGAAAGGTAGATAGAGCCAGAAAGGAGAGGAATGGACCAAAGACGACATTCAGAGGGTCCCCAGGCAAGAGAGAGGCAAAACTCAATAGGAGAGGAAGAGCAGAGAGGAGCGGCACTCCCGCGGGTGACATGGGGTTACACACTGTCCAGGGAGGGCAGGCACACCCCAGCTGAGCTGGGAGAGCAGAACGTCTCTTGCAGCATCCTACCATGGCCACATGGGGGTGCTTCTAGCTCCCTCCCACCCTGTCCAGTGTTCGCCAAGGGTGGGCTTGCAGCAGAATTACCTGGGATGCTTATTCAACGGCTCCAATTCCTCATTGTCCCAGACTCACTGTCTTAGAATCTTAGCCACAAGTCTAGGATTCTGCATTTTAAAAGCTTCCTAGGAAGGTTCTCATGCACCCTAAACCTAACCTCAGATGGAAAGCATGCATCCTGAGGGGTAAAGGAAGAGATACTGGCTGGCTTCTATGTAACAGGAGACCTCTCTTCATGGTGGCGCTTCATTGGCTTGAATTTAGAGCCTGGTTCTAGGGTCTGGTGGGCATTCTGGAACACACTCGTGGGGGTTACTGAGCCGGCAGAGGCTGTGAGCATGACACACAGCCTCTTTCATACAGAGCTTGAAGAACCTTGTGATAGCCTTCACATCAAAGTGGCATGGCGAATGGAACGAGAATGAGTCCGTGCCCAGCAACGTGTGTCCGCTTTGCTTCCTCTTCTTGGGCCCTCTCGAGAGTCCCTGGCAGCAGAGCCAGCGTGGTGGAACTCCAGCCTAGATCTCACTCTCTTCCAGAATCTCCTCCATGGTGTTGGCCATGGTGACATCCCCCTCGCTGCACTCAGACAGGCTGCTGCCCCGGGGCCAGCGTGCATGGTCCTGTTGGGGCCGGGAGCCCAGCTCCCCCAGACCTCGCATGGCTAGGTGTAGGAACCGCCCACTGTTAAGCGAGGGCTGCAGCGTCCGAAGCTTCTCAGCGCCATCTCCTTCCGAGAGCTTCTTGGGACATTTTCCCAGGAACCGGAAGTTCTTCCCCAGGACACAGGCTCTGCAGCCTGCGTGGTGGGCTAGCAGGAAGCGGACCCAGTATTTCCGCAGCTCAGCCTTCACCTGCCGGGTGAGACAAGGGAGAGGTTACCGTCTTGGAGTCATTTAGCCATGTGTCCATTTAGCAAATATTAATTGAGAAGCTACTCTGTGCCACCCTTGGGAAATTTACCTTGTAACTGGGGGACACAAGGAGAAACAAAGATACATAAATATCTCAGACGGTAATGACACTGAGAGAGTATTAAGCAGGACAATGTGGTAAAGAAATAAAAACTTAAGATGTGGTGTTCAGGAAAGGACTCTGCCAGGGTGGCATGTGAGCTGAAACCTGCTTGACGGGTAAGGAGCCCCCTGCGTGAAGATACAGAAGCAGCAGCGGTGAACAAAACAGAAGATGGTTTTGCTGTCAAGAAGCTTACATTCTAGTAGGAGGAGATAGAAATAAATATTTATACTTGTAGTAGGGCAAGAGGAGGTTGAAAGGGGACTGGAAACTCTACCAACTCCTAAAGACAGGAGAAAACACTGGCCTCTGCCCCTCCCACTATCAAACCTTTTCCCAGGGAAGCAGAGAGCTGGTTGGGCTATGCAATAATATGAATAACTAAAAGTAATAATAGGCCAGGCTCCATGGCTCACGCCTGTCATCCCAGCACTGTGGAAGGCTGAAGTGAGTGGATTACTTGAGGTCAGGAGTTCAAGACCAGCCTGCCCAACATGGCAAAACCCCATCTCTACTAAAAATATAAAAGTTAGCTGAGCATGGTGGTGGGCACCTGTAATCCCAGCTACTCAGGAGGCTGAGGCATGAGAATTGCTAGAATCTGGGAGGCAGAGGTTGCAGTGAGCAGGTATCATGCCACTACATTCCAGCCTGGGCAACAGAGCGAGACTCTGTCTCAAAAAAAAAAAAAAAAAAAAAAAAATTTTTTTTTTTAAATGTAATCATAGTTTCTAGGTGTTGAGCATTTACTATGTGCTCAGCATACCCAGGACAAGACTACAAAGCAGGGATGATTGTTACTTCCATGTTACTGATCAGGAAAGTGAGGCTAAACGACGTGCAGCAACCCAGCTAACTCACAGAGCTCCTAAGGGTGAACCAAGACGTGAATCCAGATTTTTGGACTCCGAGGTTCAAGCTTGTTTCCTGTGTCACACTTGAATATTCCTTGCATCTAAGCAGGGCCAGTGCTGGGGTCTGAACTCCTTTATACTCATCTGACACCTTTTTTTCCATTTGTCTAAGCTGCCCCCTGCTCTCTCTACTAGAAGCTCACAATACAAATTTGTCCCCACACAAGCTGGTCACTGCACATTCCCCCAGAGCACCATCACATCCACAGCAACCTCCAGAGGTGGCAGGATTGCAGCCCCAGCCTCACACGCAACCAGGATGGCAACATGGAAATCATACCTCTCCACTGGCAAAACCATACTGCAAGGCCACCAGGAACCCCTGAAACGAAAGGAGAACACGGCATAAAATCTGACTCCGGAGATGTGTCTGAGAGTTACTGGCAACATCCAAAGCCCTGCACAGGTTGTAGGAGTCCCCAGAAAAGGTGTGCAACTGCATAGCTTGCAATAACTGGAATTAGTCATACTGGTTATGTTAACTTGGATTTCCATGGCAACTGCTCTTACTTTGACATTCAGCGCCATTCCCACCCCCGCCGCACCCACATATCACCCTAGGTGTTTGCTTAGGTGTTCACAGGTGCACATGGATCAATGATGATTAAACGCCCAAGACTTTGTGTCATTCATTCAATTATACAAATATTGGGCAAGGTCACTGTTGCCCCCCTACTTGCTCATAGTGGGCACTGGTTAATGTTTGTTTGTTTGTGACTAGGTTGGAGTGCAGTGGCATGATCTCGGCTCACTGCAACCTCCGCCTCCCCAGTTCAAGCAATTTTCCTGCCTCAGCCTCCCGAGTAGCTGGGATTACAGGCGCACGCCACCACACCTGGCTAAATTTTTGTATTTTTAGTAGAGACAGGATTTCGCCATATTGGGCAGGCTGGTCTTGAACTCCTGACCTCAGGTGACCCACCTGCTTTGGCCTCCCAAAGTGTGGGGATTATAGTCATGAGCCACTGCACCTGGCTTTTTTTTTTTTTTTTTTTTGCCTGACTTGCATTCTTTCCTTTCAGTCCCTGACCCTCCCTACTCTGAGCTTCTGGCAGCGTTGTCAGTCATGTGGTTCCCATGTTCCAGGATGACCATCGCCACAATACTCAGCCCAAATGGGCTGGAATCAAAGGTGCTCCAGTTAATGCTTGCTTCCGTTGTCTTTCTCAGCCTTCTACATATCCTGATTTGTCAGACAGTCATTGTGATTACTTACATATCCTGGCTGTCCCTAACTGAAGTGAGGGTCTGTGGCATTTAGGCAGTGTGTCTGATATATTGGAGCTGGATGTGTGCACATGGCCCAAGTACTTGCATGTTTATAGAAAGACTTATAAAACGCCAGAACTCACAAGGAAAGGATGCATTTCCAACTACAGGGTGAAGGTCCCAATGGCAGGCTGACTCCTCTTATATCTCTTGATGATAATGAAATGTGGCACTGGGGAAGGCTTTTCTGCTCTTCCTTATGTAAGCCTTGTTCAGCATGTCCCTTCTGGAGCCAGACCAGGATCTCCACATTGACAATCACGACATCAACCAAATGCTTGGATTCTGGCCATGAATGTGGAATTTCCCTTCTCTTACGCACCTAGATATTCCATGGCGATAGCTTCCATAGCAGGGGCATAGTGTTACCAGTTAACCATTTTCACACATGCAATCTGGTCAGAGGTTCACAGCTGCCCTCTGTGGTTGGCGAGACAGGTAATATTTGCCTCCAGGCACATGATATTGGAGGATCTGGCTTTCAGGGTGCCAGAATTCTCACAAACAAGTTGGCTAAAATAGGATTCCACATGACAAATGTGTTTTTTCACTTCCTCGGGTGCTTGCTTCACAGTTTTAGGAACATCCTAGGGTCTGGTTCTCATTCTAGATTAAGCAAGTGTGAAGGGAGTGGGTTCCACAGAACACATGGGTCTTACTTCATATGTCACCGCTGTTTGGCAGTCTCTCCAAAGCTCCACTGATTGCAGGAGGCTGGTGGAACTCTCTAAGCAGTAGGCTCTTGGAAGAGTAAAGGACCCTCCAGAGCAGCAAGAAAAGGAAGCTGTTAGGGCTGATGCCTGTTCTTGCCAATTTCCATGGTGGAGTCTCTAAAATGATCCACCAAATGTAGTTCTCCCAACATCTGCTCACCCGTGCTCTTGCCTCTGCCTGGTGGGATGCAGGGAAGCATGGCAGGAGTATTCAGAAGATGGGAGGCCTCTGCCCACACACAAGCCCTCTAAGTGTGTCTTCTGGCTCAGTCCTGGTACAAAACACCCTGCAGAGTCACCTTGATTCCTCACGTTCCTCAGCAGTGCAGGGTGATGAGCAGAGCGCTAGCTGGCTTCAGGAACAAATCTTCCATGCTGGTAGCTAGTCTCCAGAGATGGCCCCAATGGTTCCTCTTCTTTCTGTGGGCTCAGGCTACTCTTCACATCAAAAAGTGGACCAAGTTTTCTCTGCCCTTGAATCTGGGATGACCTTGTGACTCCTTTTACTGATACAATGTCATAAAAGTGACATTCTGGGACTTCTATACCTATGTCTTAAGAGGGCTGGAGGTTTCTCCTTCCTCCGTCTTAGAACATTTGCTCTTAGGATGCCCTGAGAGTCCAGCCGCCATGCTATGAGATATCCAGGATACATGGAGATGCCACATGGAGGAGAACTGAGGCCCCCTGAGCTATACAGTCTTAGCTGAGGTCCTGTTCAACAGCTAGCATCAATGTCTAGTTACATGAATGAACCATCTTGGATGTGCCACCCCAATTGGGCCTTCAGACGTTTGCAGCCCCAGACAAAAATTACATGTATCAAAAGAACTATCTACCCTGAGCCCAAGCAGCCCAGTCTACTGAATCATTAACAATATTAAAATGGGGCCAGGTGTGGTAGCTCATGCCTGTAATCCCAGCACTTTGGGAAGCTGAGATGGGTGGATCACCTAAGGTTGGGAATTCGAGACCAACCTGACCAACATGGAGAAACCCCATCTCTACTAAAAATACAAAAAATAAAAAAAAAATTAGCTGGCCGTGGTGGCTCATGCCTGTAATCCCAACTACTCAGGAGGCTGAGGCAGGAGAATGGCTTGAACCCAGGAGGCGGAGGTTGGGGTGAGCCAAGATTGCACCATTGCACTCCAGCCTGGGCAACAAGAGCAAAACTCCATCTCAAAATGATAATAATAATGGTTACTGTTTTAAGCCATAAAGTTTTGGTGTGGTTTATTACACAGAATCAGATGACCAACACATCCTCCAAAGGCGGAAGAGTCTGATAGGCTCAGATTCTTTCTCAGAAATCTGCCTCACATAGCTCCACAAAAATAACTGGTCTTTACCTGGCCTTGGGTGAGTGGGATCAGGCGATCACAGGCTCACATTGCCCGACCGTACCCTCAGGAGAAAAAAGTCCACCAAATATTATGACATAACAGCTGCAGAGTTTTTTTTTCCCCTCTAATTTAGGATTACCTTTTAAAGAAGATTACGGCCAAGGAACACAAAAACCCCAAATTACTAAACCTTATCTTTTGAAATTCCCCAAACGACTGAAATAAATTAAACATGTTTTCATAATGGAAAAAAAATTGCTTATGGATCCTCTGTCTTGATTCGAAGCCACAAAGAATTCAACCGCAACGGGAGGGAAAAACATACTGTCCGACTGCTCATACCACACTTCAGGCTCTGGCTCCTTGGCCTTTGGTGAACATGCGGTGGGTGGACACGTTTTCTCTGCTCTGTGTACAAAATCTCAGCACTTCACCCTGTCTGGTATATTGCTCCAATATATCACACAGCACTTGACCTTTAAGACTGGTATAGGGAACTCGGTGTCTCCTGGTTCTTATCTTCACAAGGTCCCTGAGAGGCACTGTGGATAGTGGTTACAGTCAGGGACTTAACCTCTGAATAAAAACCTCATGTCTGATACATGTCAGCATGTGAAAGTCCCCAGAGCCTCAGTTCTTTCATCTTTAAAATAGGTAATTTATCCTTCACAGGGATATTATGCGAATCCCATGAGGCTGAAAGTGTTTCATGTTAAATAGATACTTTCCAGTGTACCATTTTAATTCCTTTGCTAGTATTTTAAATACATTTTTAAGGTTATTTTCTTAGTGTTTATTCCAGGGATTACAACATGCATCTTAACACAATCTATTTCATATTAACACTAACCTAATCCTGGTAAAATATAGAAATGTTCTCCTATATATCTCCATTTACTCATTCTTCTCTTGTGATATTCTTGTCATATATATTAGATCTTTGTATGTTATAAACCCAATAATGCAACTTATAGTTATTATTTTATACAATCTTGTATTTTTAAATTATGAGAAAAAAATCTACATATAGCCTTTCAGATTTACCTATGTATCTACCTTTTCCACTGTTTTTTATTTCTTCATGTGGATTTGAGTTGCTGTCTCTTGTGATTCCCTGCTAGCATGAAGTACTTCCTTTGATATTTCTTGAAAGGGGTGTTTGCCAATAATGATTTCTCTGTCTTTGTTTTTATGATAATGTCTTTAAAAAAATTTTTTTATTATACTTTAAGTTCTAGGGTACATGTGCACAACATGCAGGTTTGTTACATATGTATACATGTGCCATGTTGGTGTGCTGCACCCATTAACTCGTCATTTACATTAGGAATATCTCCTAATGCTATCCCTCCCCACTTCCCCACCCCACAACAGGCCCCCATGTGTGATGTTCCCCTTCCTGTGTCCAAGTGTTCTCATTTTCACCTTTATCTTGAAACATACTTTTGCTGGATTTAGAATTCTTGATTGACAAATTTTTTCTTTCGGCATTCTGAATATTTTATACCTCTGGCTCCTGGCCTCCATTGTTCTGATGAGTAGTCAGCTGTTAATTATATCATTGGTCCCTATATGTAATGAATCATTTTTCTCTTGTTGCTTTCAATATTTTCTCTTTATTTTTGGCTTTCAGCAGTTTGTAATGTTTCTAGGCATGAATCTCTTTGTTTTATGCTTTTTGGAGTCCATCGAGCTTCCTGGATGTGTAGATTAACATTTTTCTCCAAATTTGGGAAGTTTTCAGTCATTATTTATCCAAATATTTATTCCACCATTTCTATCTTTACTCTCCTTCTGGGACTCTCATATGTGTATGTTGGTATGCTTGATGGCATTCCATAGATCTCTGAAGCTCTATTATTTTTCTTCATTCTTTTTTCTTTCTGTTCCACAGACTGGATAACCTAATCGACCTGTCTTCAAGTTCATGGGTTATTTATACTGCAATCTTAAATCTAAGCTTTCCTAGTAAGATTTTCATATCAGTTATTGTAGTTTTCAACTTCAGAATTTCCATTTGGTTCTTATTTTATAATTGTTCTCTATTGAATTGAGATAATTGAATTCCTTTAATTATTTCAACAACTTTTTATTTAATTATTTGAACATGTTTATAATAGCTTCTTTGAAGTCTTTGTCTGATAAGTCCAATATCTGGACATCCCCCACCCCACCCAGAAAGTTTCTAATGACTGCTTTTTTTTTTTGTCGTGAGTATGGGTCACACTTTTCTGTTTCTTTGCAGATCTCATATATTTTTGTACAAAACTGGAAGTTTTAGATAATATATTATAATAACTCAGGATTCTGATTCCCCAATTCCCATCCCTGGAGTGGTGGTGGTTATTTGTTTCGAAAATTGTCTGGACTACTAGTTCTGTGGGATCTGTCTCTTCTGTGGTATATAGCCAGTGATGTCTATGCTCATTTAAAAATTTTTGGTATTTGTTTTTAAGTCTGGTCTTCTGATGCTGTTTACAATAACTTAATAATTAGCCAATGATTGATCAGAAGTTGTTTGCAAACACCTCAAGCCCATAAGGCTTCCATACCCTTTGCCAATGGATCCATGTGTCACTTGGAGAACACATTCAAAGTTCAGTTTAAAGCCTCCCCTGTCTTTTACTTTCCACCAGACCCCCTCATGTTTCCTCTATATGTGTGCAGAAACTCATCTTCAGCCAGAAGTGTGTGAATGTCCTTTCTGGTCCTTCTTGAGTGTGTATGCAACCTTATGCATGTACACAACCTTCCAGTCAACCTGAGAAATATATGCGGGCTCGTCAAGGCCCACTGTGGCTGTCTCATTTCCCAAATCTTCCTGTTAAATTTCTGGGTAGCCCATCAGTATGTTTTTTCACCCCAGAGAGAATAACTTCAGGCTTTAACATTGACCTTCCCTGTTCCTTTGTCACCAAGATGACTACTGTATCTGGCAATGCCCAAGGATGGTCCCAAAATGGTTGCTATTGACAATTGTCCAATTTTATCATTGCTTTTTGAGGAAAAGATTTGCTAGAGCCTGTCTCCTTCATCCCAGAAGTCCTGTCCCCACACCAACATTTAAAGATGATTCATTTTCAAATTACTACTCTATGAAGACCCTGGCTGTGTCCGTGCCGTTAGCGGTAATCTGTGATTACCGGCCTTCACTAATGAGCCACATCTCCCAGCCTTCATGCCTTTGTGCAGGGTCCTCCCCCTTCAATCTAGGCTGGGTCTGTGACTTGCTTTAAATGACAGAATGCAGAAGAAGCATCACTGTGCCAGTTCCAGGCATAGGCATTTAAAATGTCTGGCAGCTCCTGCTTTTATACTCTTGGGAGCCCTGAATTGCCCTATCCTGTGGAGAGACCACAAGTAGAAAACACATGGCATGTCTAAGGAATGTCATGGACACAGAGAAATGAGGCCTCAGAAATGTGACCCAAATAAAATTAGCCTCAGCTATTTGAGCCACCCAACTTAGGCACCAGTCATGTGAGTGGAGAAGATATCTTGGTAGTTCCAGCCCCAGTAGGCATCACAGAAGCAGAAGTTAGTCACCCCTACTGGGTCCTGCCTAGATTCCTAACTCCTAGAATCATGAAAAATAATTTTAAAAAGATTGTCTTCTTAAGACACTAAGGAATATATAATAATTTAAGCAATAGACTAGCAAGAGATTTCCAGGTAACAACCACAGTTGGCCTCTTGTTCCTCGTTTCAGCTCCCACACATCTGTCAAGGTTCAATAGCCTCCTGGTCTGAACTCATTAGTCCCTACCCAATTTGTGTTGCATTCTGTGTACATGTCACCTGAAGCACAGACAATGTTCACTTTGCACAATGCTCTGCAGAGAACCCAGCAAAAATAGGCACTTAATGAAAGGCTTCACATTGACATTCACAGTTAATATGATCATGAGTCACACCAACTATTACCACCCAGGAAAGAGACCATTTCCCCCTTCTTAGTCACTGAATCATGCTGGCAGGATCAGCGCAATACCTCCCCATCTGCATGCCCTTCTAATGCCAAGGGCCCTTACTGATAAAGGCTGCTGACGCTACAATTCTATTTTCATCCATGGGCTCCTTAATTCTGAGCCTGTTTGGGCCACATGCATTTTGTTTTCTCCAAAGTCAAGTCATCTTGGTTCAGATTCCTACTTACATGAAAGGAGCTCAGTGTCAACTGAATGAAAAGTCGTATAAGTTTTGCAAATCCTTCGACTTGATCATCGGTGACGAAAGAGAAGAGGATCTCATGAACGCCCAATAAAGGAATGAGGACCAGTGTTGATTTTGCCAATCTGTAAATGACAACCAAATAGCAGTCATGAGGGCCACATGGGGAACAGGCAACATTTCCTGCACTTCTGTGCCATGCCTTTGTTGCAGCTCTTACCATATCCATCATTGTTTCCCAGATGGTCTCCTTGACTACAACATTGAATGCTTCAGGGCCATTGTGGTGTTGTTTACTGTTGCGTTCCTACACTTGATGCATGGCGGATGCTCAGAAAACATGAATTGAATGAATTCCCCTGGATATATTATCATATGTTTGCAACTCTTAATGTTTTGCCTGATGGACAGATTCCCATACAAGTGACTACCACCTTGGGACCCTCCACCCCTACCAGGTTTGTTAAGTTTCCTACCGCCTGGCTAGCAGTTTCCTCTATCTTTCCTTACTCAGGACTTTCAACATCAGTATTTCCAGTATTACCACGAGAAGGGAGAGAAAACGAGTTGCCCAGGGTCACACAGACACTAGGCAGTAAACCTCAGGCTGGATGTGGGGCATCTGACCTTCAGTTCCGACCTGCAGACTCCTTTCTGCACTTTGCTATCAGCCCTCATGCTGCCCCTTAACCCTGGTGATAGTGAGGGCTGCAGGAAATGAAAAACTGAACCTCCTCATAAAAAGTGCTGCGGGGAGGTTCGCTGTTGTATATAGTCTACACGAAAAAGACAAACATTCCTTGTGCCACCCACGTGTAAAGTGCACAGCTGGGGCCCAAATGCTGCATACTGGTAGTTCCCAAACGTGGCTAACTATTAAAATTCCTTACAGAGCTCTTAAAATATATACATATAGTTTCCTGGGCCTCAATGTCAACTCCCTGAATCCACACCTCTGGAGGTTGGGTCCTAGGAAGTTAATTTTTTTTAAGAGACAGGGTCTCCCTGTGTCACCCACGCTGGAGTACAGTAGCATGATTCTAGCTCACTGCAGCCTTGAACTCCTGGGCTCAAGCAATCCTCCTGTTTCAGACTCCAGAGTTGCTGGGACTATAGGTGTGCACCACTGTGCCTGGATAATTTTTATTTTATTTTATTATTTTATTTTTATTTTATTTTATTTTGTTTTATTTTATAGAGATGAGGTCTTATGTTGTTGCCCAGGCTGGTCTCAAACTCCTAGCCTCAAGTGATATACCACTTCTGCCTCAGTCTCCCGAAGTGTTGGGATTACAGGTGCAAAGCACTGCACCTGGCCAGATGTGGACTTTTTAAGGAACTCCCCCGTGGATCCTGAGAAGTAGACAGGTTTGGAAATAACTGCTCTTTACTGTTGAGCTGTTTCTTAATTTAAAACTAACTACATTAGCAGAGATGACTCATATTCGGGGTACGAACAAAGCTACTGTCTTATCCACATTGGGAAAGAGGAGTGTAATTGTAACGATTTTTTTTTTTTTTTTTTAGCTTAGGTCACTTCTTGTAAAGGGGCCAGACTAGGAGGAACTTCCCCTCAGATCCCGTGGAATTAAAGGTGTAGAAAAACAGGGTGGTATTAGCAGTTCACGGGGGAGTTTCTTAAGGAAGGTTTAACTCTGTCCAAGAGCAAGAGCTTACTATGAATCCTATGTCTGCAAGGGCCATTCAAATGCAACGTTATCAATGAAACAAACAACCTCACCTTTGTGCCCCCAAAGGATCTAAAGCAGTGCAGGAGCCTCCAGTATGGAGGGACTCCACCTGGCCATGTGACTGTGTGAACCAGAGGCTTGACTGTCAGGAAACGCTGATGAGCAGAGAGATGGAATCATGGGCCTTGGCTATGTGGTTCTCTTGAGCTGAGCTCAGATCCACTCAGACTCCAACACCCACCCCTACAGAAGTCACTTCACTAGGCAACATTAATATGGTCCCCATGAGACAACATTTCAAGGGTTTTGTATTTCCAGGAGTGTTTTTAAAGCCCTCTGGCCCAGAGGTTACAAAGTGGTGACCACGGATGGTAACTGACCTGCAGACAACTTTTGCTTAGGCCACGGAGCAATGTTTGTTATTGGAGTCATCTTTCAATAATAATATTTCTAGCAAAAGTGTCCAGGTTTCTGGCTTCTTTTGAAAAATGAGGAGAGCTGGCAACACTGGGCTCAAATTCTTGCTTGGCAATCGTTGGTTACAGCCGGGCAATGGCTGTCCCTTTAGAGGGAGTCTGTGGCCTCCAGCCCCCACCCGGCTTGTACTACTCAATTGTGTTACTTGTTTGACCCTTGTAAGAGTCTGAATTTGTGACCCTTGCTCTGGGTGGTCTGGGTTTTTATGACACAGACTTATATGCCTACAAGCAGACCTGTGTCTTATCATCAGCTTATTCTGATGCCATGTTGCAGTGTTATGGTTTTTTAAAATAAACTTTTAATTTTGGAATCATTTTAGATTTACAGAAAATTAGCAAAGGCAGTACAGAGAGTTCCTACGTCTCTTCACTCAGTTTCCCCTAATGTTCACATACTACATAACCATGCCCATTTGTCAAAACTGAGAAACCAACACGGTACAGTACTAGTAACTAAAGTTCGGAGTTTATGTGGATTTCCCACTACAGTCCTTTTCCTGTTCCCTGATCCCACATTTCGTTTAGTACGGAATGATCTGTAAAGAACAACAATTTTTTAATACAGTTTTGGGTCACTCACCCTTCTGGATGGAGACATGAAGGGATTATCTACCCTTCACCTTATTCTAACTTCTCCTTAGACAAAGGACTATTTGTGTCCCTGTCCAGAAGAAAATCCATAAATAGCAATAGTGGTTTACTCTTACAGACTGTGTTTATGCTCATTTTCATCCATAACCATTTGTTTATTTAAATGGTCCCATTTATTGCAATCATTTAACTATCCAACAAATATTTATTGAGCATCTGCTGAGTGAATATGGTGGGAAAGAAGGAGTTGTAGTCAAAGGCAGCAGGGTACAGGAAGAGTATCTGGACCTGAGTTCAAATCTCAGTGTTGCCAATTATTAGTGCTATGACTGTAGGCAAATTATTTAACCTCTCTATCTGTTAGTTTCCTCATCTGTAAAAGGAGGATTATAATAGTAATAGCATCTACCTGACAGGGCTGTCATAAGGATTAAACAAATAGCATAGGGTAAACCCTCAGAATAAATGGTATCTGACACATGATCAACGATCAATACATTTTAGTTATTATTATTTTTAAAGAAGTCATCCCTGACCTTCAGTTGCTTATAATTTCAATATTTTTTATCAACTTTACTTGAATTTGTAACATTTTTATTCTTTGATTGCTGATGGGGTTCAGAACGTGGTACTTCAAAATATGGCACTTTGACATACTGAGCATTTTAAGCTGAAAGAATTTGAGAAAACTGCAGGAGCAGGAAGGCTCTGTCACCTCCCACCCTTCTCCCCTGAAACAGGTCATGAAACCTAGGAATGATTTTCTGACCTTCTCCTGAAGCGGATCACAAGGCCCTCATGTGAGAGATGGAGGAAAGGAATGTCCCTATTTCTGAAGACACAATGACACAAGAATCTGTACAAACAGGGCTTGTTAAATTTCCCCCAGTTTATGACCATTAGATCTCCTTTGTTCAATCATACTTCTCCCATGACTGTCCACTTTGCATCAAACCTAGCATAAAAATACGCACATTTGACCATTTCTTTGGGTCGTCCTTTCCCTATGAAGTCTCCTACATCATATAAAACTTACGAAATAAACTTGCATGCTTTTTCTCCTGTTAATTTGTCTTTGTCTAATTTTCAGACCCAGCCAGGGACCCTAAGAGGGTTGAGGAAAAGCTTTTGCTTCCTACCTTGCCTATCATAAAGTCCTTTCAGAAAGAACTGGGGTTTAGCATGTTAAGAAATGCTTGTCGGGCCGGGTGCAGTGGCTCACACCTATAATCCCAGCACTTTGGGAGGCCGAGGTGGGCGAATCACCTGAGGTCGGGAGTTTGAGACCAGCCTGACCAACATGGAGAAACTCTGTCTCTACTAAAAATACAAAATTAGCCGGACATGGTGGCGTATGTCTGTAATCCCAACTACTTCAGAGGCTGGGGCAGGAGGATCGCTTGAACCTGGGAGACGGAGGTTGCACTGGGCCAAGATCGTGCCATTGCATTGCAGCATGGGCAACAAGAGTGAAACTCCATCACAAAAAAAAAAAGAAAAGAAAAGAAATTCTTCTCCTTTATAAATGAATCAAGAGCTCTGCCCAGGTGCATCCCATGGAGAGTTAAGGCCCTTTATTGAGGGGAAGAGAGCTGCCTCTGAGAACCACACCTCTGTGGGATCCCATCCTCTGTGGGAACCACAAAGAACAGAGAACTCCAGCCGAGCTGAGGGTCTGCTGAACTCTGTCCGCATTCCTAGGGCATTGCTTACCCTGTTTACAGCCCCAGAGTTCCTCCTTCACACTTGGCTCAGTTCTCTTTCTCCAAGCCAGACAGATGGACCATTTTTTTAATTTCCTTTGCTTGATGGTAGAAGCCCAGGGACAAGGGCTAAGACTACAGAAGGTTCTCCAGCTCCTAGCAACTTGCCTCTTTGGCAGGGCCTAAACGTGTTTAATTTAAACTTTCCTAAAATAAAATCCTGGAGGGAGGCCAGATCAGGGTTACATTCTAAAAGTTCTCAAAATCTTCAAGAGTTGGAGGCAGCCTGTACCTACAAGAGTTTGGATAAAATATGCTGGGCCCTGTCACCCCCTCCTCCTTACCCCACCAGAAGTCTTTAAGGGAAAACAGACGTGGAAGGGGATGAGGAAGAGGAACGACTTTCTGACATGGAAGAGGGCAGTGTGAGCTGAGGAGATGAGGGGTGCCAATGCCCCACTGGGGTTACAGTGAACAGCCCTCTCCTAGAACTTGAAAATGAGAGAATTAGCACTGCTTTCTAAGAGCACAAGATGCTGCAGGATTTGCCAGCCCAGGGAGTTAAATAAGGTGGTTTAGGTGTGTCCTGAGAGATCGGTCCCTGCCTTTTTGCTAATGAATAAGTATTAATCAACTCGATTGCACTCTACACAAAGAACAAGTAAACAGAAAGGTGGCCAACGAAAATGGCAGGGAAAGCACAGAGGGAGGACGTTCTCAGTACCTATCCCACCTTAGTCTGTGGAGGGCACACTGGATCTGGGGAATGAGCCTCCTTCCCAACAGGTAGGTGGCGCTGTGGGCAGGTGGTGATTTTTCAGGCTACCCTCAGGATCCTTCAACAGCAAGACTCTGCTTTGATGACGTGAGTACCAGTAACGTTCCGGTGACTCTCTGGATTCCTGAATCTTCTGGTGTTGCAATTAGGAAATTTTGGGAGGCGCATGGGCCCAAGAAAGGAATACTCTACCCCTACCCCCACCTTCCACAGACATTAAAAATGAACAATGTTCTAGTTTATATACATTGGGAGCTCAGCTGGGGTCCGTCAGCCTCCCAAAGTCTCAGCCACTCAGGAATATAGATGGATTCCTTGTACCATATCCAGGTGGTGGCAAACTCACCAAGGTGAGGCACTTCACTGTGGGAGGACTTTGGGTAGACATATACCCAGGTTCTTCTTCTTTATTATTATTATTAAAAAGGAAAAGGATCTCACTCTGTGGCTCAGGCTAGTCTGGACTCCCAGTCTCACAGGATCCCTTCCCCTCAGGCTCCCAAAGTGCTGGGATTACAGGCATGAGCCACTGCACCCAGTCCCAAGTTCTTCTTGAGCTTTTTCTTTGAATAAAGGCAGGGGAGAGGAAAAAAAAGAATTTCCAAATAGACTGCATATGTCAGGCAGGGTTATTCTTTCTCCCCACAAAGCAGTCACCCTGGATCATCGCTCAGCCAGGAGAGTCTCCCCAGTATCTTGATTTACCCTTTCCCTGACCAATGGCTCCTGGTGGGTACACACCCTCCAGGGCCATGCCAGACAATCTATTTGATATTGGAAGAAAATATTATAATAGAGGATAATAGGCGTTGTGTATATATTAATTTTTATCTATCCTCTTACATTTTCTTTTTTTTGGTCTATCTTATAATACATATATTAGCTCAGGCAACCACGCATATACATGAGGAGGGACATGCTCAGAATTTCTTTACTGACAGCGACGCGTGATCAGAAAAGTTTGAAAACCACTGCCTTGGATAACTCTAGAGGGGACCCTGGAAAAGAGAACACTGAGGCTGCATGACCTCTGTAATGGCCTGACCAGAATATTCCATGTGTTCTTTCACTAGAACATCTGGCCCAGCAGTCCTCCGCGCTGCCTGTGTATCAGAATCTCCTGGGAGACTCTGTAGCAGGGGCGTCCAACCTTTTGGCTTCCCTGGGCCACGCTGGAAGAAGAAGAGTTCTCCTGGGCCCCGTGTAAAATAAACTAACACTAACAATAGCTGATGAGCTAAAACAAAACAAAACAAAACAAACAAAAACAAAAAAAAAAAACCGCCATGCATAATTTTTGTGATATCCGCCACCACAGAAAAGCAAAAAAGTCCTTGCATTCTAAGGGTTGGACACGGCTGCTCTGTGAGGTTTTATCCCACACTTACGGAGCCAGAGCACCCAGTGGTAGGGCTCACAAGGCTGCACTTCTGGCTGAGTCTCCGGGGATGCTAATGAGCAGCTATGACGAAAAACTATGTAGGGGTTGCTGTGGGTCCTGGGCATGGGGGAGGTGCCAGTGGCCCATGGTAGGCTTTGGGGGCACAAAGCAGCAGGGTGTCAGCTCTGAGTCCCCTGGGGGTCAACTGCACCATTTCTGTCTCGCGGAAACACTAGCCTCTGTCCAGTTTCTGGGGCACCCTGGTTTTCCTGGCACCTGTTTATTGAGAGAACTCTCCTCCCTGAACACACCCAGCAGGGAGGACTAGAGCGGGCCTTGAAGCTCCACCCTCAAAGAGTGGTGAGAGAAGCTAAGCCTTTGGGAAGGGGGCCAAAGAGACTGCGTGGCCACTTGGAGCCTCGACTGGAGGCGCCAAGAGAGACAGCGTGGCTCCCTGGAGCCCAGGCCAGGCCAGTTCCCCAGGGCTATGGGTTTCTTGCAAAATGTTTGGACCAAAGCTCCAACTAGCAACTATAGTATGTCTGCCCATTATTGAGCCGGGTATGTTTATCCTTCTAGACCTCCTGGAGGGAGGGTAGAGTGGCCATCCATATTTATAACCACATCTACAGACTACTTGAATCCTCAGAATAAGCAGGAGATGAGTATGCAGTGATACTCCCATTTTTACACACCAGAAAGCAGGCCAAAGGGGCCAAGGCACTTGCCTAAGGCCAGTAGGCAAGTCTAGGGTCATGACCAGCTCCCTCCCTTCCACCTCCTGCTCCATGCCAACATCCTAGTCCTTAGCGAAGTAGAACGCATGCTCCTCAAATGCAGGGTCTACATCATGTCCACCATTTTTGTTTGTTTGTTGTTTGCTTTTGAGATAGAGTTTTGCTCTTGTCGCCACCCAGGCCAGAGTACAATGGCACTATCTTGGCTTACTGCAACCTCCTCCTCCCGGATTCAAGTGATTCTCCTGCCTCAGCCTCCTGAGTAGCTGGGATTACAGGCACACACCACCACACCCAGCTAATTTTTGTATTTTTAGTAGAGACAGGGTTTTGCCACGTTGGCCAGGCTAGTCTCGAACTCCTGACCTCAGGTGATCTGCCCGCCTTGGCCTCCCAAAGTGCTGGGAATACAGGCGTGAGTCACCATGCCCGGCCTCGTGTCTACCTTTTACTCCAAGCACAGTACCAGGCACATTGTAGGCATCTATTAAATATTTGTCAGATAAAAGGAAAAACTCCCTTCCCAGCACCTGGGTCAGGCCTTATAAAGGGGCGAGAAACAGGCTAGGGCCATCTTCACTCGTGCTCACCTCCTCTGGCCTCCTGTGTGGACTGGAATTCCTACTCTTAGAGCTAATCTGTGGGTTAAAACACTCCCATTCCAGAGCCCTGCTGAATGCCACATAGAAAGCAAAGAATAGGCCAGGTGCGGTGGCTTACGCCTGTAATCCCAACACTTTGGGAGCCCAAGGCTGGTGGATCACGAGGTCAGGAGTTCGAAGTCAGCCTGGCCAACATGGTGAAACCCCATCTCTACTAAAAATACAGAAATTAGCCGGACGTGGTGGCAGGTGCCTGTAATCCCAGCTACTCAGGAGACTGAGACAGGAGAACGGCTTGAACCCGGGAGGCGGAGGTTGCAGTGAGCTGAGATCGCGTCACTGCACTCCAGCCTGGGTGACAAAAGCAAAACTCTGTCTAAAAAAAAAAAAAAAAAAGTAAAGAATAACTAGGAAAGAGGGAGAAAACTCTTTATCATTCATTCATTTGCTTTTACAACAATGCAGATCTAGTAAATACCTACGATCTGACTTACTAGGAATGAGGACTGCTGTCATCTCAGAAAGAGGAAGGTAGGGTGCAGCGATGACAAGTCACAAATAAAGGATGCCTGTGGAAGGATGTCTTTCCTTAGACCCTAAAAGTTTGTGGTCTCTTTTCTCAAGGTTCTCAAAAACACCCAAATAACCTCTTCAAATCCTTCCCCAAGGAAGGCAACGGCCAAACTTCTCTTCATACAAGACTGTCCTTTTCCCACAACCACCCATTCTTAGAAACTTTTTTTTTTTTTTTTTGAGACAGGGTCTCACTCTGTCACCCAGGCTAGAGTGCAGTGGCACAATCATGGCTCACTGCAGCCTCGACCTTCTGGGCTCAAGCAATCCCCTCACCTCAGCCTGGGACTACAGGCATGCACCACGCCTGGCTAACTTTTGTATTTTTGGTAGAAACGGGGTTTCAACATGTTGTCCAGGCTGTTCTCGAACTCATGGCCTCAAGCGATCCTCTTGCCTTGCCCCAGTCTCCCAAAGTCCTGGGATTACAGGTCTGAGACATCACTCCTGGCCTCTTAGGGGCGTTTTAACAGTTTTCTGCCGGGGGATGTGAATGCCTTTGACTACTCACCATCTGCTTCATCATCTTAGAAGGTCCTCACCGTTGACAAAAGCCTCACTTGATCCTATAGCATCTTTCCAGAACTGCTGTTTCTGATACCCTGGCCTTAGGAGATAAATGTCCTTCCCAAGACTTTAGGCAGAACAGCCAGAGGACTTACAATAACCTTGGACTGCTGGGGACCAACCTCAAGCCACTCACCTGTATTTATAGTCTCTGAAGCACATTTGATTAGCTTTGAGTTTAGAAATGAGAAGCTTGAGAATTTTCAGGAAGATGAAGAAATTGACCTGAAAAAAAAAGCAGAGTTGGGTAAGTAAATGATGAACTCTGCATAGCTGTGAATTTCAAGGTCAGGCTGGGCTCGGCCATCAGTTCCATCAGTTCAATGTAAACCAGGGGCAATGTAGCAGTTAGCTGGCCAGGTAATAAATGCTTAGCTGTGATCTCCACTGGCCCAAAGGCCATCTGAATCTCCAAAGTCCCAAAGGTCATCTGAACTGAAAGTCTGGAAGGAATTTTAGAAAGTGATTTAGTTTATTATTCTGCCTTAAGGAGGCCCATCATTAAGGCCATCTAGAAAGGCAGGTGGACAGTCACATTATTATTATTACTATTACTGTTATTATTATTATTATTAGCCATCATTAAGGCCATCTAGAAAGGCAGGTGAACATTCACATTATTATTATTACTATTACTGTTATTATTATTATTAACCATCATTAAGGCCATCTAGAAAGGCAGGCGAACATTCACATTATTACTATTACTGTTATTATTATTAACTAGCACATATTGAGTACTTATTGAGTACTTAGCACTAAGTACTTAGTACTTATCACTTAGTACTTAGCACCATGCCAGGCTTTGGGCTAAGAATGGTCCAGGCATTCTTTTTTTTTCTTTTTTTTTTTTTGAGACGGAGTCTTGCTCTGTTGCCCAGGCTGGAGTGCAGTGGCGTGATCTCCACTCACTGCAAGCTCCGCCTCCCAGGTTCACGCCATTCTCCTGCCTCAGCCTCCCGTGTAGCTGGGACTACAGGTGCCCACCACTGCGCCCGGCTAATTTTTTTTGTATTTTTAGTAGAGATGGGGTTTCACCGTATTAGCCAGGATGGTCTCCATCTCCTGACCTCGTGATCCGCCCGTCTAGGCCTCCCAAAGTGCTGGGATCAGGCATTCTTTTATCTAATTTTTACAACACTCTGCTAAGGTAGCCACAACTATTTTTATCCTCATAATACAATGAGAAAACAGAGGCACAGAGAAATAAGTGTAATTCCCAGGTTGCACGGCTAGTCAGTGACTGAGCCTGTAATTAAACCCAGATTCATCGGATTATAACCCTCCCTTCACTTAAACAGAATGCTAGTCTGCCTCTCTTCTGTAAAGAACTCCATCCGTGTTGGTGTCTAACCTGAGATCCTGTTGCTGCTATGGAATTCTCGGACAGCATATGCTCTCTACTCCCTAGAATACATTCCATGACTGTCATGGGCTGGGAAAATCCAGCCCTTCATTGTCAGCCCTTAAAGAAATTTAAAAATATGCCTGGAAATTTCCCCACCGCCCCTCCTCAGGTTTCTCACTCCAGGGGAAGTCAGCCACCATTTTGTGAGGACACTCAAGCAGCCTATTGGCAGATCCACATGGGGTAACTGAGTTCTCAGGCCAAAAACCAGCACCACCCACCACCAGCTGCACCCTTGGAGCTGATCCTCCAGCCCCAGCCAAGCCTTCAGATGGCTGCACCTCTGGCCGATGTCTTGGCTGCAGCCTCAGGAGAGATCAAGAGGTGGTGAAAAGCAAGTGGCTGGGTTTGGGTAGAGCTTGGAGAATGAGAACAGGGTTTGTGAGAAGTGAGACTGGAGAGGGAGGGAGGGTCAGTGTCTGCAGGGTCTTTCACTGCCGTGCTAGGCGAGGAGTTTGGGTTTTCTTCTGAAAGCAATGAAGAGCCGGTAACAGAATTTAAGCAGGCAAGTGACCTGATCAGATTTGTACTACTGCATTTCAGAAAGATAATTTCAGTGGCAGTGTGGAGAATGGATTGGGTGAGGGTAAGGCTGGAGACCAGTTGGGAAGTAGTTTCAGAGTTCCTGGGGGATGGTGATGGAGAGGCGAAGTCAGCAGCAGTCCTGGTGCTTCAGTGATGGAGAGGAAGGGATCAATTTGAAATGATGAAGAAGTGTGAGTCAAATGATCTTTGTTATTGATTGGATGTTTAGTGATGGAGAGGAAGGGATCAATTTGAAATGATGAAGAAGTATGAGTCAAATGATCTTTGTTATTGATTGGATGTGAGGGTATGACCCTGACATTTGGTGGTAGATCTCAAATGTGCGGTACTGCCATTCGCCAATAAAGGAATCACGTGGGGGGAAGGAAGAGCACTGGGTGGAAAGTAGAGGGTGGATGAGGACTCCAGTAGTTTTGAACACAAGAGATGTTCCTAGGCAGTTAGATATTTATGTCTGAATCTCAGCAGAGAGGTCCCAGCCAGAGCATGAAGCCATTGGAGTAGACAAGATTATCCAGGGAGACTGTGTAGCTGGGAGAGAAAGAGGGTTAAGAGAATTGCCCCGTAGTGAAGGGAAAAACGGAGAAAGTGGAGATAGCAAAGGTGATGAAGAAAGAATAGCTAGGGAGGTTAGAATAAATGACACAGAAGGGGCATCCTGGAAGCCCCCAAAAGGATGATTTAAGAAGGTTTAAATGCTACATAGAACTTAAGCAAAATAAGACTGCATTTAGCAACAAGGAGGTCACTAAGAGAAGCTGCTGTGTAGAGGTGGGATCACAAGACAGATTCCAGTGCTTGCTTTTGTGGATGAAATGGGAAGAGCAGAGGCAGCATAGACAACATTAAAGAGGCTTGGCTGTGAAGGGAAGCAGGGCGTTCAAACAGTAGTTGACAAGGGATACACAATGAGGTAATGTCTCCTTGGTTTTATTTGTAGGGCTGGAAGAGGTTTTTGGTTGCAACCGTTTTTAAGATTAAAAAGACCACGCCGGGCACAGTGGCTCACACCTGTAATCCCAGCACTTTGGGAGGCTGAGGTGGGCGGATCATGAGGTCAAGAGTTCGAGATCAGCCTGGTCAATATAGGGAAACCCCATCTGTACTACAAATACAAAAATTAGTCGGGCATGGTGGTGCACGCCTGTAGTCCCAGCTACTCAGGAGGCTGAGGCAGGAGAGTCACTTGAACCAGGGAGGTGGAGGTTGTGGTGAGCCGAGATTGCCCCACTGCACTCCAGCCTGGGCAACAGAGGGAGACTCCATCTCAAAACAAAACAAAACAAAACAAAAAAAACAAAACTTAAAAAGACCTAAAAATGGCTTTATGCAATATAGAAAAAACTGACAGAAAGGGTGATAAGGCAACAATTAATGCAACAAAATCTCTACAGACATTGAGTCAGCATAGTACTCATGTCCCTTCCTAGAAATAAAATCCTTCAGCTACATATTGAAATGCAAGCTATAGAATTCAGTATGTGTCAGTTATTATTTGTTTTTATTGTCCTCAGGAGAATCAATGCTCAATGCTAAAAGACTAGAGTTTCAGGCAAGAAGCTAATCCTGAAGCCAGCAGGAATGATGGAGGTTCCCAGACAAAAATAGTTAGGAACAGAGAATTTAAATACAAGCTAAATATAACCAAGTCATGTATTTCTTTTAATGGGATACCTGCCTCTCATCATAAAGAGAAAACGTGTCCTTGGCTTAGTGATTTGTTGAACATAGGCATTTTTCTTACAAAGCAAGCTTAACAGCAGAAAGGCATATATTTCAGCAAATTAATTTCTTTTTTTTTTTTTTTGAGACGGAGTCTCGCTCTGTCGCCCAGGCTGGAGTGCAGTGGTGCGATCTCGGCTCACTGCAAGCTCCGCCTCCTGGGTTCACGCCATTCTCTTGCCTCAGCCTCTCGATCAGCTGGAACTACAGGCGCCCGCCACCACGTCCGGCTAATGTTTTGTATTTTTAGTAGAGATGGGGTTTCACCATGTTAGCTAGGATGGTCTCGATCTCCTGACCTCCTGATCTGCCCACCTCGGCCTCCCAAAGTGATGGGATTACAGGCGTGAGCCACCACACCCGGCCCTGCACATTAATTTCAATCAGGACTGTCTACTAGGCAATGAAGGGTTATAATGAGAAGCACGTTGATTCACTGTTCTCTGTGTTTTCCAGAGACCAGACATGAGAAAATGGGCATCAACCCAGGGGCCATACGAAGAAGGCTCTTCCTCACTGCCATAAGATGAAACCCTAGCTGGGGGTACCATGGAGCCTCTGTTCATTTAGGCTTCCAAGAAGACAAGAGTCAGCAGGTACTATTGGATGGTGCTGTTCTTCATTTGCACACAAGCAGGAAAGGGGCTGAGTGAGGACCTTTTCCAAGAACCTAGCCAACTCCTCCAGGATTCTGTGACCAGATGGGGGTGGGTACTAAGGTGGGTACTAAGGACCCAAATATGTAAGGATCTCTGCTAGATTCTGGAAAATACAGATGCATTCCCAGACATCACCAAGATGCATCCTTGGTGACACTTTCTTGGTACCCCAGCTTCTGTGCACAGGTCTGGGTCTACAGGTTGGCAGAGGTGATTGCCAGTATGGTGGGAACTCAGGGGTAGGCCCTCATCTACCCCTAAACTCTTCCATCTACCCCCAAATCCCTCCTCCTCTGGCCTGCTCTGTGGACTAAAATGCTTATCCTGTAGAGCTACTCTTGTGAGTCAAAACACTCTTTCCCCAAGAGCCCTGCTGAAAGGCACACATCCCAGTGAAGCTAAGGAATCACTGGGAGAGGAGGAAGGAAGCCCTTTCTTCATTCATTCATTCATTCATTCATTCATTTTTGCAACAATGAAGACTTCGGTAATTACCTAGGATCTGGCCTATTATCACCACTTAAAGCAGAAGATGGGGTGTACCAAATGTAAGTTTTGATGGGGTGGGAAAACCCAGAGTACAGCAAGATTCCCACTTGGAGTCTTTAGAAGAGGAGAGAACAGGAATGAGGAAATGTCTTGGGAAGCCTGAAGTCACAGAAAGCCCCTGGCTTCCTGGTGGGGCAGAGGACCTAAAGAGGGACAAGGCCAGTGAAGATGAAGTTTACCAGTGTATCAGCTTTGCCAAGTTCTGAGGCTACCACAGAAGATTCAACAATAGCAAATGCAGGCTTTTGACTTTATGACTTCATAAAGTCAACAGATGGTTCATTCAATTTGTGAGCTCAAAACAGCCATTTCACTGGGTCTGTTAAGTGCAGGGAGCAGGG